CCTCCCGGCCGCGGGGCCATCCCGGCACTGAAGTCGGTAACAGGTCGACCCGGGACTCGGGAGCGAAGGGCCTCCCCGTCCATGCAGCCCTCGGAAAAGACCCGACCGACCGCAGCCCCGGCACTGGGAGCGGGGCAGGGCTCACTCGTACCTGTGCGGAAGGCGCTTCCCGCCGCGGAGCGGACAGAACCAGCACCGCCAGGAGCCCGGGAGGTTCCTACCACCTCTTCCCCAGCACCTCTTTGGCAGCCGCAGAAACCGCACAGCTAGGCCAACGACCCGGAAGTGCTCGCAGAACCTGGAAGTGGCGTCACGTCGGGGCCAGGAAGGCCCCGCCCACCAACTCCTCCCGTACGCCATTCAAGTTTGGCGAGAGGAGGGGCGTGGGGCCTAGGACAGGTAACTGTTTCGAGTAATTCACCAGATTTACTAAATCGTTCATAAGGTAATTATAATTTTTAAGAATAGTCTTCTCCACTGTAAGATGCACAGTTAGGAAATGCAAGGCATTCATATTTTATGCCTGAGATGTGTTCAGGGTTAATACTGTTTAAAACCTTGCAATGCTAAATTTAAGACAAATTCTTAAAATTATGCCAGGAATTTATTTACCGTTCAAATTAGGGCTGCAATTAATTTAGCCCTGAAAGCTTTCAGTTTATGATTCATGAAGAACTTCAATTTGTGAGAATTTGTATTTATTATTTGTTCCCAATGCAAGACAAATACTCTTATATAGGGCGTTCCCCCAAAATGTATACACTTAACTGATAGCTCAATTGATGTTTCTTTTTAGATTTAACCCATTGGAATTAATAATTATTCAAGGTGTGTATACATTTTTGGGGACACCCTATATTTTGAGTTTATATAATCCCAAATGCTGTCCTATGGAATAAAAGCAGCAGTAATGTGCACAGCTGTTTGCCATTAAGTGGCTGACTAGTGATTAAGGAGTAAATGCAAAATAAGTGCTAGATGGATCCTCCAAACAGGTCTATAAGCTATACAGGTTGTCATTTGTACCATGTGTTCAGCCACTTACTGAACTGATTTCATCGTTGGATTGCCCACTAACCAAAAGAATTCTAAACTATGAAACACAAAGTTTGGTTATAGTTAAGATAACATTTAACCGGGGAACAATTTGTAAAATAGATGATATCTAACCACTATACTGTGCACCTGAAACTAATACAAAATAATGTTGGATGCAAACTGTAACTGAAAAATAAAATTAAAATCTTCATTACAGAATTATAATACCCACTTGGAATTCAATTTAATCAGATCTTGTCAATATTTATAAAAGATCTTAAAGAATTTTAATAAAATCTGGGAATTTATTTAAAAAACAAACACAAACAAGATAGTATTAAAATTAAAAGCAGGGGGGACTCTTCCCCCCCCCCCCCCCCACCCCGGACAATATGAAGCAGCACCAGATTATAGGAAGAGAATCAAGAGTAACGGTCTAAACGATTTGAAAGACAAGATAACTCAGTGTAAAAATTCAGTATCATAATGGAAGACGAAAAAAATGTGATAAAATGAGACAAAAACAAACTTTCCAATTAATTTATTTAAATTCATTAACGTTGCAAAAATACGATGTGCAACAGATCAGGACACAAGTTACTGTATTCCTAAATAAAATATTACATCTCCTTAGTGAATCAATACCAACCCTAGTATTTCTTACAGGGACCACATAAACATCTTGCACACACAGCCACCAATCAGAACTGAATTTCTCAAACACTGTAAAATGAAAGCACTAAGCTAGGCAAAATCATCTGAATAGTAGTAAAATTATCACAGTACATTAATTTAGTTTAAATGGCAACATGTGAACCAATGATAAGAAAAATGTTTGAATTTTTGAAATACATATCAAAGTGTGTTAGTATTGAACAAACCCTGAATTTTGTTCTATTTGAATAATGCCCCAAGGGCTATGCAAGTTAGTGGCCTTGAACAGCACCAGTATTTACTAGCTAGGTGTATGTAAATAAACTGTTTAAGGGGCAAACTTTAGAAAGTCCATATACAAAAAGGGCAGTGGAGTAGCTAATTTATGTTTTCCAAGTTCCTCCTTATCCACAAAGAATATGAAAACAAAATTTTTAAATGCAAATGTCTTAGCTTCTTGTAGAATGTCTTATAAGACAGAATCAGACAGCTATCTGAAACGGACAGCTTACTATAATTCTTTAATTTGAAAGCATTAAACCTTGATTTTCATCTGGTGTTTGATTTATTAAGTGCTTCATGTGAACTTTTTGTAGCATTTTTTAAAGTAGTTCTCAAAACATAAAATATTAAGTAGCTGTCATATACAACAAAGTTACAGTTCTGTTCAAATTTTAGTGTCACTCCTTACTGCTCAACACATTACCTTATTTTCAATTACTATTTATAACTTTAAAGGAAAATTGCATTACAGGGACTCACCATTGGTCTAACTCGAATTCATTCAGAATCTTGGGACAGGAAGAGGGGAGTTAAAGGCTAGTAGGTAATTCTTCTGTGCTTAGAACATTGAGTAGATAGTCTAAATTCTTGACTCTCTCAGCGGCTCAAATGATATAATTCCTATTCCCTATGACAAGATAAAATCTAATAGAATAATTGGTCTATTACTGTAAGTACAGTAATTCCTCTACCCATCCCATCCTTCTGAGAATTGTAATCCATTTCTCAAAAATCTAAATATGATGGGGAAAATATATGCATGAAAACAAAATAAAATGGGGTAGCAATCTCTTATTTTTAGCCTATCCCCTCCTCCCTTCTGGTTGAACCATATTAGCAATTTTCCATATGACACAGGAAAAGGGAAAATGAAGCTGCTGTCACATTATATACAACCTTACCAATCTCATTAGGAAACTGGCCTATTCTATCCGACATATCCTAATGCTAATTTATCTATCAACTGAAGAAATCTAAAAAGCCACTGCTTGCATTAAATCACTTTCAAATTCCCTGAGCACTCACAAAAACAGCCAAATAGCAACATTATTGAGCCATTTACAAAGTCTCTATCAAAAACCAGACCTCTTACTTTTTTAAATTCTGGAATTTCAGTTGAAGAATTCCTATCTAACAAAATATACTTGTCAATCAACAGATTTCAGTATTCAGTGCAGTTACTAAATAGTGATGTCTATTTTGGAAGACTACATTAATATTTACCAACCATGACATATGAAAAATAACCTAGTCCTAAACTTTAACTTGTGCACTATAAATTGCTGACCCTCTTTGTTCAAACTTGCTTCTGTATGAAGGGACATAGCAGAAGAAAATATGAATTATCATTATAAGTATCAGCCTTTCCCCCTTCACATATTCTGTGTGTAGCATGTAGGTTTTCCTGCTGGATACACAAAATGGTACCAACAGCTGCCAGTACTGAATGTAACAGGGACACATTCAGTGGCATCTTAGGTAACAGCTAACTCTTCACCCCTTCATAGTTTTCTTTCTTTTACTTCCTTGTTTTGTTACCTTTTCCAACTACCTGCTGGGCTCTACTTAGAATCCTATTTCTTTATTACCTATCCCCCAATTTCCAGAGTTAAAGACTATTAAGCTTAAACTATGGGGTCAATATAGCATCTTTCCTTGGTGGTACTTAGGAATATAACCAAGTAGAACACAAATTACTTTATATGAGAAACTACTGACTAAAAAAAGGCACTCAGAGCCCAAGTATAACACAAAAAGTGAAAGAACCATCAAATTAAACCAGTTAAGTTAGATCCATGACCCCAGCAGGAAGATAAAATAATATAAATATCTGTACTTTGTTCCTATCGACAGTGTAAAATTAAAATTGAATGCTTTGGGGGAAATGTTAACATAACTACAAATTACAAATTTAATAAATGCTTTTCTTCTAACCTACTTAAGTCTTAAGTCTTACAATTATGAAACATTTATTATGGGGCATGTCCCTATACCAGATTCCATTAAGGTGTAGGTGAGAGCAGGTATCCTTTGAATCTAGTGACTCACAGCACATCCCTTTTGTTATATTCCAGTGTTATCACTGTACCTTCTGAATCTTAATGTTCTAATAGAATACAGGCTAATTCTACTTTTAAAAATTATTTAAAGAACACATCATTTTTGTAACAAGTTGGATCTGTAGTTAGAAACAATGCTTACAAAAGGAAAAGTCAATAAACATAATAAAGTTGAAACTGAACGGGGTACTTGATGTAGAGGAAAACCACCCATTTTAATAAAGCTCAGCCCATTCTGAGCCAGATGAAGACTTGTAGATAAAAGGCTAAAGCACTCTACAAATATAGATTCTAATCACAATTAAATTCAGTATTATCCTTTATTCTCATCATCCTTATATAGTGAAGTCAGAAGGAATACCTAAATTAATGTTAATTTGGTGTTTCAGTACAAAGTGTTTCTAACATTTAAGCAAGCAATAGGGTTTGATTTTATTCACTATAGTGACATTAGTTTGGGATCTGCCTATAACTGCTGGATCCAAGTCAAGTCAGGAGGCAACTGAGGGCATCTCATCCTGGGAATCCTCCAACATCCCCCTTAATTGGATTTAAGTTAGCATGCAAATTTATGACTGAAGAGCACAAAAGGTAAAGAAAAATTCCCTTTTGTAATAGGAACTTTATACTAAAAGCAGAAATGGTAAAAGCCACATGTGTCTTCAGTCCAGAATAGAATGAATCTTAAAAGTTTAGCTCTCATCCACTTCAATTATGCTACTCCAGGACACTCTTGTAAATTACCTTATAAGAAGGACTGGAATGTGATGTGACCCTCAAATTTGGAGTTTACCAAATGTATGAGTCACACAAGTATATGACACAACATTAGACCAATCGGCTTTTAGGATGACTTTGTGGGTAAATTTAGTTCTTTTTCGAGGCATAAGTACAATTGATTTCAATGTAGAGTCAAGGTATTTACCAAATTAAACAAGGAGTTTATATGCTATATCAAATGTGTCATCCAAAACAGTATAATACAATGATGCTCTATGATTTAGAAAATAGCTTAACTTATAGAAATGTGAAAACATACTGTATCTGACTACCTACCAAGTCCAAATAACTGATATGGAAGTATTATGGTAAAGTGCCCACATTGGGAGCAATTAAAAAAGCAGCTCCTGTTTTCTACAAAAAAGTAGTGACAGTGAATAACTCATCATGTTCTCTGAATAGTACACTGCACCCACACAAATTCACAACAGTGATACCCTGGAAGCAGCTTATTTCACATTAGTGAACAAATCTAAGATTTTTATAAAGGTCTGTCTTTTGGCCAGAAAATAAAATGTCCCATATATATACATATATGTACAAACATCAATTCTTACCCTCTTAAATTCTCCAGTTCTAAAACTGGCTTTTTAAGTTGTCTTTAAGTTTAAAAAGGAAAAAGTGTGCATTACACTTGTAATTGTGCTTCTGAATTAAGGAACAATATATGTTAAGTGATTAAAAAAGCTTAGGATGGTACTAATCTACTTAGATTATATGCATGACCTTTGGGTATTCATGAGAACCAGTTTAATTGTCCCTAACCTTATGAGCCACTTCGTTTTTTTAAGTTACCCAAGAAATGTAGTTAGTCATCTATAAAACACAAAAATTCTAACATGCACTTTACAAAATCATGGTCTTATTTATCTGCATATTCTTCCAAAAGACAGGTATACATTAAAAAATATTGCTCAAAACATAAAAATATATATTATCTCTTTCCTTGACCAATTAGGCATATAAATATTTTACTGAAGAAGACGCATCATTCAATAAACAAATGCAAAAACCACTTTATATAAAGTGTGGATCTCTGCTTTAAGCAATATAAAATATAAAACGATTACATTATCATTAGCTAGTAAAGAGCTAAATTCAAGAGATTTATAAACCAAAACAGTAGTGAACAGTCCCTTATACAAAAGTCCATTGAGAAAAAGTCAAGTCGATTTTGTAACAGGTTACATAAAAATCAGGGCCAATAAATGCATTGTAAATGCAAAAAAGAGCACTGCTTCATCAGCACATTCTTCAATCTTGTTTGGACTAGATGCCAAACTTACTGTTCACTTTTTGGTTCATCTTGTTTTCCATTAAGCTCTTGATCAACTCTGTTTAATGAAAAACAATATAGATAATAAAACACTAGCAACTGAATAATTTTCTTCTTAAAAATAATTACTTTTAGCATAGAATATTATTCTGTTAAAAACAAAGCTTTGCCAAGAAGCAGACACAGTAAAAAGGTTACCAAACATTTCCCCAACAAGGAAAGATAATTTTTAAAGTCAAGAGAACACTGACAAGAAACCTAACTGTTGTTTTTTTAAAAATTATAAAATACTTATGTACAAATAAATGCACATAACTTTATTAAAAGTTCAAATTACTGAACTTTCCTGAACATTACATCCTGAACAACAGTGCATACTGAAATGTTGGACTGTAACATAGCTGGGGTAGGGATCTAAGTGAAAAGCGAGTGGTAGGAAAAACAACTCTTTCAAAAATGATTTTGTTAAGTAGTATATTAAAATGCCACTACAGTCATGCGCCAGGTAACGATGTTTCAGTAAACGATGGACCACGTATATGACAACTGTCCCACAAGATTGTAGTGGAGCTAAAAATCCCTATCGCCTAGTGACATTGTAAGGCCATAGCACACACGCGACAGTAATGTCCTAGTCCTTCACATTCACTCACCACTCACTCATTTCCAGTCCTGCAAGCTCCATTCATGATACGTGTCATGTACAGGTGTACCATTTTTTATCTTTTACACTATATTTTTATTGTACCTTTTCTATGTTTGGAATTATTTAGACAAACAAATATTTACCACTGTGTTACAACTGCCTATAGTATGTTCATTATTAGTACAGCTATATGCTGTACATAGCCTAGAAGCAATAGGCTATATCATATAGTCTAGATGTGCAGTAGGCTGTACCATCTAGGTTTGTGGATGTTCACACCGTGACAAAATAGCCTAACGACACAATTCTCAGAACACATCCCTCCCCATCGTTAAGTGACGCATGACTGCACTTCAATGCTCAGTTTTGAACTGTCCTTTTCATCAGTACTCACTCATCATAGAGATTTCACTTTAAGTAAGCTACCCCACATTTAGCCTGATAACTTTTGGTTTTAAAAACATGCCCCTCTATTTTTAAAATTTGAATGTTATCATTTTCAAGCTAACACGAATTTATGAATCTTTTAAGGTTAAATTTTATATAAAAACTATGAAGTGCCTAAAAGATATACATAATGATTCTATTAAGGTTAAACAAAAGTAAAAAAAAGAGAACATAAAGAAAAAAAAAACCAACACGATAAAATAGTAGTGTTAGGTTCCAAACAATACATTTAAATAAAAAGTACAGTTCCACTTTTTTCTGATGCCTAAATCACTTAATAGATAACTAAATACTAAGAACTTGGTAAAAAGGCACAATACAGCAGATTTCATCAATAAAGGCAATTCATTTTGAAATCTATGAAGCAGCTGGTTTCAAAATATTCTACAATTACAGGTTATATTTTTAATTTCAGCCATTTATCTAGCAAATGTACACCAATGCCTAGAAAGGAATGAGAAATTAGCAAGATCTAAAAATCACTGCCCATATCCCTGTTAAACTATTTGATAAACTGTAAAGTGTCATATAGAAATGTAAAGCTATTATTCTATCACGTGGTCAACTGAATTTTTGCTCATCAACAGAGACAAAATATGTCCAAAGTTAAGAATGTTCCAGTTACTTACAATTGGTTCTTTAGAATGGTCAAAATGATAATTACATAAATCTCTCACCTTAACTCTTAAGAAAGATTGCATTAAACTGTATTGCTAATTTGTCAATATTTTAAGTCCATTAACAAGTTAGATCCAAATCCTACACTTTTTAAAATTACTATATAAAATGTAGCTGTTTCATACCCTTGCCTTTCATCTTCTATTAAGGTATTAATAGATAATAGTTTGTTATGCTCAAAGCAGAAGTATTCAAAATTAAAATTAAGATGGAAAGCGGGGTGTTTAACTATTAAATGGTACATTGATCTTTTAGGTATTTTATCACATGTAGAATCTGACTGGTTAGCAGGCCATTTAAGCATACAAAGAAATCAATGTTGGTTAGCCAAAGAATATGTGCATTTTAAATATAATCATTAACCCCAGAAAAGTAAAATAACTTCTTTAAAAAGTGTACAAATAATTCGAAAGCACAAATTATAGATTAAAAAATATGGTAAAAATGATAAAATATTAAAAATAATTGATTTTTCAAATTGTATTCTTAGTAATTCTTCTGGTTTATCATCAGTATTTATACCCAAAAGAAGGGAGCACAGGCTGTGGCCTTTAATTACTAATTGGCAATATATATGGTGTTAAAACAGAGTAAATCCAAGCCACAGGCAGCATCAGGAACATTGGATTCACTCTGCATTTGGATTCTGGGGTGTACTTATATTTACAAATGCTATTATCTTTGTCTACAAGCTAACCAACCAGTAAGGAAGTTAGTCTGTGCAATGCAAATGGACTAGTCTAGATGCAACCCAGTCAAGGTGTGCATATACCTTTTTTGTTTCTTTTTTAACTTTTCTTCTTCATACCTTGGTAGGGAAGAGTTATTTGAGTAAATACACATGTTATAAAGATAAACAAAAACTCAAAAAAGGCACTTAAAATCATTTAGGTTTGCAGGCAAAACAAAAAATATTTAATACAGTAATACAGAAAATCACAACTGACTTAAGAAATCTGGCTTTGACACATTCAACACACTAAAACCTCAGATTAACAGAACAAAGACACTTTTTCTACATTATAGCACCGTGATACTCAAGTATTTTACATTAAAAGCCTCTACCAAGCTCTTTTAAAAAGGTTAGATAAAAGTTAATTTGGTAAACAGAATAAATTCTAGTCACTGGAAAGTATTAAGGCTATGCTGATCTAAATAACATTTTATTTCTCTAGTAATATTATTCAATGTCATGACAAGCTTTTACTCAAATTAGGAGAGCAGCATGCCCAAATTTGGAGAATGTTCTTTAGCACTGACCAATCAGGAAATCATCTCTCAGACTGTAAGCCAGTCTTTACAAATATAAATGAATCACAACCAGAAATAATACTTCCTATTTCTTCAACTGACAGACTGAAGAAAATGGTGAATTATGGGGAAGGTGCTGGAAAATGGCTTCTTCTTTTGTTTTGTTAATCCTCATCCAAGGATATTTTTTTCTACTGATTTTTAGAGAGTGGAAGGGAGGGAGAGGAAAGGGGGGGGA